GATGGTAGTTCTCTAAATAAAGAAGAGATGGAGAGCATATTTTTAGAATCTCTGTAACAGGATGGGCTATACACACTCACTTGCATGTACCCATGCACACACACATTTATATTCTGTTTGTGCAAATATCACTGCTCTAGGCTTCTACCTGTGTAAGTTCCTGATGCTAGGAGGGCACGGTAAATAAATTCAGGAAATTAGGCTTACTTCTTGCAACATTCCATCCTCAACACCTAGAAGACCATATTCAGTAAAAAAAAAAAAAAAAAAAAGAATGGTTCCCATCATTCATTATCATTTAAGATAACCATCCCGTTTGAACTTAATTGTTTTGGTTTTTTTTTTGCATTATTGCAAATGTAAAAATAGTGAATAGCCAGGTTTTCTGAGTTAGCAAGAAGAAGAGAAAAGAAATCCTCTCTTTAGTTAGTGAGGGTGGTGTTATAAGTCATTTAAATATTTAGTGTGACTTCTAAGACTCATTTGCTCCTCTGAAGGGATGGATCTCTCCACATTCTATTTTCTTCTGATTCATTCATGTTAGTGTTGTTTGGCTCATTTTCAATAAATATCTAAAAGTCCTAGGGTAATTTTTCCAAAGAGCATTACAAGAAATCAGTAGAAGATTCTAACTTCTTGCTTTTATTGTTAGCTGGGCATTTTTTATTTCTTCATGCAAATTATGTTCATACTTTCAGGAATTTTAAATACAAATTATAACTGTCTAGGTAGCTCTTCTGTTGACTTTTGCTTGGACATTTTTCAGCAGCTTTGAGAGGACTTTTGTTTCATTTGGTGTGCTGAAAACTTCCCAGTAATGATGACTATGTACTGCTCTCTGCCTTCCACTGGGCTGCTTCACTGTCTGTGCTTGCAAGAATATTGACAGAATATTACTTCTACAGTAGAGCACAGCTGTCCAAGCCCTAAATAACAGCTACGGCTAACCTCATGGGGGCAGATTCCTAACAATTTCCCGAGTTCTCTGTGTTAGTGACAGGTTTCAAGCATACACTCAGCTATTAAGACATCAGAGCGTCTTTCATTTCTTAATCATTAACAATGTTAGCTCTGATTGCCCATGGAGCTGCAAGCTGTTAAAATGATCATTTGCTCCTTACTAATTTTGAAACCAAGAGCTGCTGCCTCATTTAATAAAATGCTGGTTTCTCCTATGAACATGCATAACTCAACAACCCTGAGTCTACTATGAGAAAACTTAACCTAGAAGTAATTTGCAAAGTAAATGGGGTTAACTTTAGGGTATAGTTCTAAATACTGAGAACTCTTTACTTCAAAAGGTTTCAATTTGCACGTTTGTTAGTGCTATGCTTTCAATCAATTTTCCTACCTTTTACAATGTAGTATTTTTGATGCTTATTTAATGAAGAAAAAAAGAAAAAAAATCATCTTTTAATAATAAAAGGATAATGAAATTTCACCAGATTTAAGATAATTTAGAATTATTTTGTTAGACCAATAAAATATTCAAAAACTTAAAAATATTATGTTTGCCTTTCACCTGGCTAAAACTGAGCCTGCGCAAAGCCATATCATATGTAATACTCAATGTCTACGTGATAAATTGATGTGATATGTGTTAAGACCAGTTAATAGTGTGATCTTGGTCATTTTTAAATTAATGTTTATTATAGGAAAAATTTAAATTTATGAATTTTTTGAGAAGTGTGCACTGTCTAATGTTGGATATATTTCTACAAATGGGGCTAAAGGTGCCTGCCTAGAGATAAGAGGTTCCTGTGGATATTCAGGCTACTTAGGAAATCTCTTAGGAGTAAAGCCAGCACCAGTCCCCCTTCTCAAGAACTGCTGAGTAGAAAGGCTACTTCCTAGCTATTGGTGATAAAGCTTTGGAATGACCAATATATGTCGTCTCTAGCCATCTCTTCTAGGAAGAATCTGCAACCATGAGTAAATACATGTCTAGCATCTGTTGAGTGTGACCGTCTTGGTCCTCCTGCTTTGGGAAAACTCAGGCAGCTGAGATAATTGATGGATATTTCCCTTAGAATCAAGAGTATGAACATCTGGTCGTCCTGAATCCAAAGTTTATGACTTTGGGGATTTCCTCTAAGGACCGAGCCACTGCTAGACAACAATACACTATAGTCATGGCACTCTGAGGTCATTGCCTTAGACATGAGGAGAGCAGAAGTCAGTCGGTGCCCTGAGAAGCTTTGACACAAACTCCTCCCAGAGTTGTCCCCAGACCTTTCAGCCTGAGGCACAGAGTTTCTGGCTTGCCCAGTTTCCATTACAGTGAAAGAAAAGTATATGAAGTGCATCTTTGTCTGTCTTGTAATCCACTGTTTATTCTGCTATTGTTACTATTATGGTTATATGGGAACATTCGTTGTCCAGTTCTAACTACATTTTCTGATTGTCCTCTTTTTCTTCCTATAAGCATTGACTCAAAGTATTTTTAGAATGTATATGTATATATAGCTCCGTTCCTCCTGTAAGCTGTTTTCATATTATTGTATAGTTCTTCCAACTCAATAGCATTATTAGTACATACTCATGTGTTAATTGTAACTCATTGTAGTTTGGTTGCATATTTTAAGATGTAATGTCCCTTTATTTTAGAGTTCTCCACTGCTTATGATACTGTTCAACTCTGTCTTCCCAAAGAGGCAAATAATTTTGCCTTTAGGAGGGAAGTTTGCTATGCACTTTGTGAAGGTGGACTGTGATGTAGTATGTATCCTTGGAAAATGTGTAAGGGTAGTAGCTGTCATCACTTCCTTTCAGGTTAAATCTCACTTGCCCTTTATATTCATGTCTATAGGACCGAATGCTGTGTAGAATAAAAAGAGCATGATTAAAAATAGTTAGACAAAAGCACAGTCATTGCATAATCCAGTATTAAAACTTAATAATTTTGAATTTATACGGAATATTGCTAGATTAAATAATTGAAATTGAACTATTTTTTATCCAAGGTAATGTACTTAACCATGAGGAAACATGCTTAAACAAATATACTCTTTTATTTTTGCTATGAATTTTTGTGTATGGAAAGGTTCAGCTAAAATCAAATTAAACCCTAAATGAATCAATGAGGAAACAAACCAACGAAACCTTCCTCATGAGATAAGCATGAGATCGTTTAAGTCTTCTAGCACAAATTGGCGAGCCCACTGCTGCCCCACTCAGGTACACAGCCCACCTGCCAGAAAAAGAGTGTCTAGACTCCTCTAACATGATCTGCAGGGAGGAAAGCATCAGGAGGGATACTGTGGAGCAGAAGGGTTTCCCATTAAATGTAAGGTCAGGTTTGAGTTCCTTTCTATCATTAGAGGACAACAACCAATGTTTTCTGCTTGAGGAGGCTATGACTAAAACTATAGTGAGGATGATGCTTACTGTGCCCTGTTTCATCCTTCGCCTTCTGGCGTTCTTTCCCATTGACTTCATCTGAGCATTGCGTGTATGGTGTTCACTAGGTCCAATCACTTACTATCTTTAGACAGAACTGGGAAATCTTTAAGTGTGTCTTCCTCATGTGTTAGGTACATTGCCATTCATAATAACCTCATATCAGGGTGGAGAAAACGCAAAGTTTTTTTTTTTTTAAGTACTGTTAGAAATGGGGGGGGGGATTGAAAGACAAACACTGTAATGTAAATGAGGATCTTCCTAATTAACTTCATGATCTTTAGTTTTCACATTTTCTTAAATATCCAAAAATGAAGGAAAGTACATTTTGAACAAAATATACTTGCTGTATATTAGTCTGTGCTTGAGTGTCTGGGGAGATTTGCACGGGCTCTTGGTGGTAGTACTGGGTAGTACTGGTGCTGTGATGATGATGTCAGTTACGGTGGTGCCATTGGTAAGGATGGTATAAGGGTATGGTGATGGTTGTGTTGGTGGTGCAGGTGTTGGTGGTGGTGCTGATTCTGGTGGTGGTGCTGCTGGTGGTGGTGCACGTGCGGATGGTACGGGTGCTGGTGGTGTGGTAGTTGTGCTTATGCTTGTTGTTGGTATGATGGAGATGTGGTGGTGGTGCCGCTGATGCCTGTGGTAATGATAATGGCCATGTTGCTGCTGGTGGTAGTAAAGATGGTATGGTATGGAGACAGTCCTGCTGGTAGTGTGGTGCTGGTGAGGCAGTGAAGTGATGTTTGTGATGTTTGGCCTCCAAGATGTCTGTTTTTTGACACTATAGCACATTTTCTCTGTGTTAGTAGCAAGGAATGTACATGAAGTTTAGAACTAGGGCCTAAAAATATATTGTTCTCTGACATTGATTACTTTTTGTGGGTATAATTTTTTTCCTTGGGGGAACCTAAGGCCCTGTGCTTGCTAGTCAAGTGCCCTTACACTGAGTTAAATCCACCAAGTCCTCTTATCTCTAATTAGATAAACTAGGTTTGTAGATTAATTCTTATTTTGTTGCACACTGAAGCTTCTGGCATTTGTATTTGCAGCTTTTGATAAGAATCAAAAAAGATGAATGTGTTGAGATGCATAAGAGGCTTTCAGAAATCCGAAGAGCAGTGTGATAAGATTTGTAAATTGATCTTATTTTAAATATGTTAACTGAAAGCCCTTCATTTCTTTGCAAACTCTTTGATCTTCATTCAGAGTGAAGTTCCAGTGTATTTACATTTTTTACCTTAAGCCAGTGGCCACCACAGTTTCTTTCACAATATATACTGTGACTATAGGCATGAGCAACTTTGCCTCTGTTGTCCAAAGAAATGCCTCATAATTCTTTCATTCTTTCATTCTTATGTCAATTTCTGGATTTTCACAAATGAATTTCTTTCTGATTTCTCTTTCCCTTTTTCTTTTTACAATTGGAAAAAAAAGGTCTGTACATGACTTCATGAGAGTATCAAGAAGAAACATCCGACAATTATCTTGAGATATTGACAGAACTAGATTAAAACCAAATGCCTTAAAAGTTTGGGGAGTACAATAAAGCAAGGAATAATTTGGTTTGTTTGTTTTTTCCCGTCTAATATTTTTAGGTACAAGCCTATGCAGAAAGTGGATGGGGTTGCAGATGGTTTCACAGGAAGTGGCCAACAGACAGGCACATCTGTTGAGCAAACTGTAATTGCCCAAAGTCAACATCATCAACAGTTTTTAGGTATGTTAAGGTGTAATGCCTAGCTGCATAGTAGTTGCTCTGAGGATTTTGAAGAGAACATTCTCTGAGTAGAATGTCTTCAGATGTTAACTCCTTTAAAGGGGGAGGTTTGGTGCTGAAAGTACAACCTTAAATGATAGTTCTAGTTCATCTTTATTGAAGTATTAAGCTATATGAAATCTTGAATGCATCTGCCTTAAAAACTCAGGGCTATGAAAGTGTTTTCAAGAGTTTATATTACAGTTGACTTTTGTGACCAAAATCATATTGTGTTTACTTCAGAAATAATGTCCAGTCCAAACAAATTCTTATTTCCTTGTATACAAAGTTACATATCCATAGTCTTAGATAAGAAAAGTTATGAACATTTTAAATAATTTATTCTTCCAAATTGATTACAGTGCTTCCTATTTTTATAATTGTATAGAAAGAATACACGTTTCTTGATACTGAAAATGTTTAGAAGCAGAAATTGAACATTTGAATATTTAAGCTGGAGCCAGAGGAGCAAAAGTGGTAGTTCAGTTGACAGCTGTTCCATCAATGAGTGTGCATAGTCTCCAAACAGTAGGCCAATATAAAGAACTGCTGTCGGGGTGTTTGTGTATGCACACATGTGTGTGCGTGTGTGTTTATGTGTCTGTGTGCATGTGTGTGTCTCTCTGTGTATGCATGCCTGTGCGTATGTACATGTATGTGTCTGTGTGTGTGCATATGTGTGTGTTTGTGTGTCTGTGTATGTGTGCATGTGTGTATGTGTTTATGTGCACTTGCCAATGGAGACAACTGGGATAGACTTTCAGATTAGAAAGCTCCTGATCTCGACACTGTTACAGTATTATTTCCTAAGCCAAAGTGCCCCGTTGAGCTTTAAAACAACACCATGTTTTCTTTTGTAGTGGTAGTTGAGTTTTAATATTTAAAAAGAAATTAAAGACAGGGCTACACAGAGAAACCCTGTCTCAAAAAATTAAAAATATACATGTTTTCTAGAGTTTGTAAATGAATATTATTCTTCCTTTAATTTTGAATTTATGGTAAGGAACTCACCAAAGTACATTACTAATCGTCAATGGCTAATGAGAAAAGGAGAGAAAATGCGAGAGGACGTGTGTGATGTGTGAATTATAGTGTCATCAAGAGAGGGCTAGCTGATGTTTCTGTGCAACAGAAAATGTCATATTATTTGGGTGCAGAATTGTATTAGGGCAGGTAGCCCCCAGGAAGAGCAGATTGGTGTAGGTGTTATAATTAGAAGATTGGTCCACAGCAGCTGACACCATGTTTCGTGTGTGAGAGATGATTTGATTATAGGATAGCATCATTCATCACATCAAATTATTGTTGTTAATATTATTTTTTTTTAACTTTTTGGATTTTACTTTTATAACCTTCATTTTATGATTGTGTAAAAGGTATGAACATAATGAGTTTAAGGCTATGTTTATTTTTATATGGTTGGATAGCATAATACAAATAACTAAAATTGCTACTGGCAAGCTCAGGTTGTTTTTCTTTTACTAAGAACCTATCCAATGCCCATTTTAATTAGAGTAAAGCTTAGTTTATACGAAATTCACAAGTATACTCCATTCATTCACATGTTACATGCTGATAATGTTACTAAGTTTGGCTGGAAAATATTAATTTGAAAGTCAGTGATCTTTGGCACTCTGATCTCTAAATTTTCTTTCCTTTTTAGTCTTCTGAAAATTTCCCTCATTAATCTGTAATTGACACTATCCACAATAGCTTTTTTCTGTTGTGTTGTCATGGTAACAGATGCATCTCGAGCACTTCCAGAGTTTGGAGAAGTTGAAATCTCTTCTCTGCCAGATGGAACTACCTTTGAGGATATCAAGTCACTGCAGAGTCTTTATCGAGAGCACTGTGAGGTAAGACCTTCAAACATAGTCTGAGCACATGCTATGTTTTGCCACATAACTTGTTAAAAACAAAATAATAAAGATTTTTTTCCTAGAGAACAGAGAAGTTCTAGTTATTTTGAGCATTTCTTTGAACACTAATAAAATCCTTCTTGCCTCAGTGCAAAGTGGGGGAATGCATAAAGGTGACAATCTCCATTTCTTAAACTGATCCTTGTGTCTTTTGATATAGCAGTTCTACTCTGGGTCTGTCTGTCTACAAAAAAAATTGTACATATGTGTGACACAGCCAATGTACAAGGGACTTTATTGCATTATTCTTATTTAAGAGGTTGCTTATAGTATCTAATTAAGAAAGATTAAGTCTGCTATAATTTATAGGTTGGACTATTATACACTCATAGGACTGAAAACTCTAAATATACTAAAAGGAAATGTGCTCTAAGGCATAATGTTAAAGCAAAAAAGAAAAAAAATACAGAAATTTTATATAACATATTGACCTTTGAACTTACATAACTATCTTTCCACAAAGAAAAGTAAATTGTTAATAATATCTGTGTTTGTCTGAATCCCTCATACTCTTGGGTATGTGAACATATAGCCCTATTTAGGGAGGCCTAGAAAACATGGCCTTATCAGTGGTAGTATGTCACTGGAGGTGGACTGAGTGTTTAAAGACTTGTACCATTTCAAGTTTGTTCCTTCTGCTTTTTACCTGTGATTCAGGATGTGAGCCCTCCACTTTCTGCTCCTGCTTCCTTCCTTACCTTTAGACAGCTGTCTTAGACTCTAATCGTCTGGAACCATAATCCCAGATAAACTCTGCTATATGTTGCCTTAGTTATGTTGTATAATCACACCAATAGAAAGATAACTGATACAGAAATCGGTTACAGAGTGTGTGCTATTACTGTGAGGAACCTGAACATGTTATTTTCTGGAGGATTGTGGAAGGCTTTGGAACTTTGCACTAGAAAAATGGCTGAAAGCTGTAAATAGGGCCTAATGGGGCCAATCCAATAGGATGTTGGAAGACAATAATGCTAAGAGATAAGTGGACTGTAGAGGCCCAGCTAAAAGGATTTCAGAGTAGAACAAAATTAGTAACTGGACTATAGACTCTTCCCATGATATTTGGGCAAAGAATTGGCTACTTTTTGCCCATGCCCTGTGAACTTGCCTAAGAATAAATAAATAAATAAATAAATAAATAAATAAATAAATAAATAAATATTTAAAAGTGGTGAACTCATTTTTTTTTTGGTAGAGGATATTTCTTGACAGTTTAATATCAACTCAATCTCTTATTTATTAGTAGTCCCTCTTAAGTAGATCTATAATAAAAAATGGTTCAGAAATAAATACAAACTGTACAGAAATTCAAAGGATACTGATGAGTTTAACGCTATTGCTAAGACTTATACTATAAGAGAGACTACAATTGTTAAGGGGATTAGGGCCACTAAGGATAGGTCAGATCTGCAATCCAATAAAGGGAAGGTACCCTCAGGGCAAGACCTCATCCAGCTAAGCTTCCAATTTGTAAATAAAGTATGAGGTGTTTTCTTAGGCTTCTGGAAAGCCACTTCAATTAAAAGCTGCTGCTAATGTGGATTAAGGGGGCCACAGTACATCCCAAGCTGACAGCCAGACTTCTCAGTGTTGTCCATGTGGTGCTGGCTTCAGAGCCATGAAAGAAAAGGAGGTGGTTTTACAGGGCTGCTGAGTGAGGCCAGGCAACAAGTGGTAGGGGAGTCCATGCCTAAAGGTTCTGAGAGGGGAAGATACCCTGAAAGTCCATTGAATGAAGCTGTGTAAATGAACCCTGGGTTGTTTTGGAGACCCTAAGATGTTGGAGATTTTAGAGCCATGAGATACCTGCACATGAGGCATGGAACCAACCCAAGAGAGGAAGATGTATGTTTCAGGCCACAAATTTGGGGGAGCAGAACCATTTAAGCCCTTTGTTATCAGATATGGCATTGGAAATTTTGATGTTTTCCCTGCTATTTTTTCAGTCTTTCTTTGGTTCAATATTTCCTTGTTATTATCCCATTTTTTCTCTTAGAATAGCAATGTATATTCTGTGCCATTATATGTTACACATATGTAATTTTTATTTTATAAGGTGTTAAAATTAAGAGATTTGGCTTGATTCTCAAAAGAGACTCTGGACTTTGAAACAGTATTGTGACTGAAAAAACTAAGGGGAATTTAAAAGTTGAATTAAATGGACTTTGCTTTATAATGTAGCTCTGTTATTGTGAGAGCCAGGGAATAGAATATGTGGTTTCAGTGATATGGCCCCTGTATATAGTCGTGGGCAGTTGAATACTTGGTCCATAGTTGGTGGTGGGTGGGTTTTTTTTTTTTTTTTTGTGGATGCTTACTTAGGAGAATATATGTCACTGGAGGTGGGCCTTGAGATCTTAAAGCCCCCCCCCATTTTGATTTTGCTCTGTTTTGTGCTTGCATTTCAAATTATCCCTTTCCTTCTTACTCCTGCTGCAGTGACTTTGCACTGCTCTTATTATCTCTAACGCTCCAGAGCCATCAGCCCAAACAGACTTTCTTCTATAAGTTGCCTTGATCATGGTGTTTTATCACAGCAAGAGAAAAGTAACTAATGCAGTACCCTTGTAAAAACAAACAAACACATAAACAGAACAAAAACTGTTGGCCATGATCAGTAGAAAGTCAGGTTTTCAGTGGACCCTCTTGAATACCACAAATGTGTGCTATTTTAAATAAACTTAGTAAGAACTTTGTTCTTCTTCTTAGGGATCCTTTAGACCGATTTTTAGAATTGAAGTTGCTTTATCTCAGGAGTATTTATGATTTTCCTACAGTTTCAGGATTGGCCGGTGATTTCTAGAGAATTTCTTTTGACTGTTGACAGTGAAGGATGAAATAATAAGTCTCGGCTTAAAACATGTAAAGACTGTTTGAGGGCTTGGTTACTTATGGCTTCTCTTGATGTTTTAGACCCTACTCCTACCACTCTTCTTGTGTCAGAATTGGTGACATTGGATAGGAGGGAAGTTTCTTTTTTCCAGTACATTAATGCATCTGATAGTTACCCGGTAGAAAGGAGAATACATTGCACAGAGTTTTCTTAAGTAGTTTTAGGATTTAAGTAGCTTTATCTCAGGATTTGTGGTCTGCCAGCAGGCAAATTAAGGAGTAACCTGTGATTTCTAGACAAGTCCTTTTGCCTGTTGACAGCAAAGAATGAAATAAGAAGTTTTCATTTAAGGCATATATAGGTTTTTCCCCATTGCTCCAGAAATAAGATTACGTGAGTGAACCCAAGTGGTTGTCAGAGGTGCTAGGTTATTGACAACCAAGGACAAGTCCTCTCCTTATCAACATCTTGCTTGACAAAGTGTTCTTAACCTGTCTTACTCATTTCTAATACTTCTGCATGGTATAAGCCAGTTAGAATTCATTACCCTTTGAATAGTATGTTTTTCTGAGTGTTGGAATATTTCTAAATCATGATTGTACACATGGAAAAAAATTTACACCTATCTTGTTCAATGAAAATTATGTGAAAATTCTTTAAACAATTCCTCATATATCTGTATCCAAATAAAGCCTTCTGTATGCAGCTTAGCTTGTACAAGTATAATTCAGATTTTTTGAGTGACTTATATTTATTCAGAGTGTAAATTGGAGTATAATTATTTACATTGCTAAAGAGTGTACAGTGAGATCATGCTAAGCAACAGATGCCTCCAATAAGATTAAAATAGTCTATAGATTATACAATTTTCATGAAAATTCCAATTGTAATGAATAAATATGTTTTATGTGAAGAGATTGGGCACTCAAAATTAATCTGTGTAGGAAGTGACACTTCACAAAATGAACCCCTCTTGTTTCTCAGTTATCAATACTCATGCCATCTCCCATAGCACAGAGTGGTATATTTAGAAAATTAAAATTCTAATTCTTTTTTGTTACATCTCAAAACAATTTAAATAAAGCTGCCTGGCTCTCAGATTCAATCCTGTAGTCATTTGCCGTAGTCAGTAGAATATGGATTATTTTAATTTTTATTTGCCTATGTATTTAAAAATAATAGTATTTTAGTCACTTACCAAACTGCCTTAAATGATGTTGGTATTGGTATCGATTTCAAAGTGTTATTTGAGATTAATTTGAAGATACTGGATTTGCGATGTGTTGAGATTCTTGTCTTGTTTTGCTTCATATTTTCTATAGTTTATATTTTTAAGGTAGGATTATTCTATTTGGAATTTTTGTAATATATTTATCAAGCTATTTTTAAATATCACTAGTTTCATTCTCACAGGTACGTAAAGTATTAACTGCCTCACACTTTAGAGACGTCCCTTGGAATATGCTTAAGCTGCAGCTAAAGAAGCAGATATAAACACTTCCTTCTGGAGAGTGTTCTGATTTCGAAGGAGATGAGGGGAAGCCATGCTTATTTTGTTTCCAGAGCTTGCCTTCGGCATGTTTTAATTGTACTGAAAAATTTTATAATGAGCTGACTTCCTTTCCACTGTCCGCCACTTGCAGCATTCCCTGCTGGTTCTCAGAGCATGTCCCCTGCATGTGCTTCCTGTCTCTGTGAGCCTCAAAGGCGTCCTCTAGCTCACGCTTCAGCCCAGATCTAGACAAGCGGTGTTAAGTTAGAGTTGACTTTTCCTAAAATACTCAGATGGACTCTAGGTTGTCCACCCAAGAACACAGATGTTAGAATGCTTTGTCCTTGCTGACCAGGCGTAAGTAGAGTGAGGTGATGTTTAGTTTCAATTGTCAGCTTATCAAGTTCTCTAGAATTACCCAGGAAGAGAGTTTCACTGAGGGATTGTTTAGAACAGGTTGTTCTGTGGGAGTGTCTGTGTGGGAATGTCCTGAATACATTAGATTTAGATTATATTTTAATAATTTCTTGCTTAACAGAATGTGAAAAATAGTGTAACCTAACATGAATGCAATATAAATAAATAAATTAGTTCATTGCTTGTGTTATGCCTTGTCATTTAAAAGCTAGAATATGAAGAATAAAAGCAGATTACTAATTTCCATTTCTTTTTCCAACTTTGAAATGTTACATATCAATAAAGGAGATGTAATACATAAACTGTATCAGTTATTGTACCATCTTTTCTAAATCTGAGCAGTTAGTATCACCAAAAAATGGAAAGAATAAGAACAAAATATTCTTTTACTAATTATTATTTTTTCTATTTTCTAGGCCTCTAAAGTATATTTGGTATACTATGTAAGCAATAGACATAAAACTCAGTTGATTACCTAATTAGTCTGTATTAGTTTCTGTTCTATTGCTGTGATTTAAAAAAAAAAAAAACTATGACCAGGAACACTTACAGAAGAAAGGGTTTATCTGGGCTTATAGTCCCCAAGGGCTAAGAATCAGCCATGGCAGGGAGACATTGAAGCCAGCAGGAAGCAGGACAGCAGAAACAAGAGGCTGAGGACTCGCATCTTGAATTGAATTGAATCATGGAACAGACATAGAGAACTTGTAACAGCACAAGTCTTTAACATTGAGAAGCTCATCTCCAGTGACATATGTCCTCCAACAAGGCCATACCTCCTAAGCATCCTCAAACAGTGCCACCAACTGAGGACCAAGTATCCAAGTGCCCAAGACTACAGGGGATATAATACGAGCCGCCACGCAGTCTGAAATGCAGTGTGTTGTTTCAACACAGAAATGATATAAACATTAGTAGCTAATGCTTGTCCTTTTGGAGTTGTTAAAATTCAGTCTGCTTTCATTTCAACAAGAACACACTATATAGACAAATCGTTACTATTTATATTCTTTTGTTGCTGATTCATTGAAATATAGTAGTGTTAGTGTTTCAGATTGGAAATAATTAAAGAAATTATTATTTGATTTTACATTGTTTTACCATATCTTTAAAAGGCAATATATTATTTCCATATGTAATTAATAGAATAGCTAGTTATTTTAGTTGTCTGTCTTTTGTGTCTTCTATGTCTTGAGTATGCAGTGTTCCTTCAATGCTTACAGTCTTTAGATGCTGTTTTGGAGTCACCAGCTTTCTAAGGCTCGGCAGACTCACATGGCTGGTGTGGATCACCGCAAGCAAGGCAGCGTGGAAAGGGTCAGATGTGTATGGGGTTCTCAGACCATGGAGGAACTGTAGCTGCCATGGCAAAAACATCTGGTGCTAAAGTGGAAGAACAAGGGGACGTAAAGGAAGTATGACGGTTTGGTCATTTTGTTTTTAGGCAATATTGGACGTTGTTGTGAATCTTCAGTTTAGCCTGATAGAAAAATTATGGCAAACGTTCTGGCGCTACTCTCCCTCTACTCCAACTGACGGCACTACCATTACTGAATCAAGGTCAGAATCACTATGCTTTTCTGATTCATTTTCATGACGAAGTAGATGTCACAGCTAATAAGTTAGAGATATGTATACCAGTTGTGAACCTTACCTGATAACACTAAGTAGATTGACCATCCTAGGAATACACCAGACTGCTCTCCTGAGGTTTTAGTGTGTATAGCTCCCATTTTATTGATTTGGGGGACTATGGTGTATCTGTGTCATGCTAGTGGATTACTATCCTATCTGTCTTTCAGACCATAAGAAAATACTAATGTACATAGGTAGCTCTGGGGGTGTGTTTGTGTACACATATATGTCCAGCCATATGACACCAGTGCAATGATGGTATAGTTCTAACCTCAATAATATTTGATAAACTATATTTAAAGTCCATTTTCTGTTTTATCCTCATTTGCCATCTATTCATTTGCGACATTTATTCACGCCAGCAATCTGAGTGAAATAGAAAGTCGACTTCCGAAAGCAAAGCTGATAACTCTGTGCAAACATGAGTCTATCCTGAAATGGATGTGTAACTGTGACCATGGGATGTACCAGGCTTTGGTGGAGATTCTCATCCCCGACGTCCTTAGACCCATTCCTAGTAAGTTACGTGGAGACAACTACAGATGCTTTTGTTCTCATACATAGCACCTGAGCAATTGTGGGGATTGATGTTGCAATCAGGAATTATCCTCGTTTCATTTAAATTTGTCAGATAAAAAAGATGCAGCATATAGAACATTGCATGAAAAGAACCTACAGGGAAACTATAACGAAGGGAAAATGGCCTGTTTTCTAGTCTTTTACATTACTATTATTTTTAAAAGTTAGCGAAGAGCTATGACACCCTCAATAAACCAATTGTAAGAGCAATCTTAGTTCGGTCAACCATGCAAAATTATTCTACTTAAGGCTGAAGTTCTCTGCATATAGCCAAAAGATATTCAAATCTCTAGTTGCAGACCATTCTCTCTCATGGTTGCTTAGGATATGAAATAAATTGAATGTGGTTTCCAGTAAAGTTGAATTCCTTTATAAATTATTTACTCTGTTACCTGTGCCATCTTCAGAAATACAAATTCAGTTTCCATTAACACTACTGGTTAACTAGTATTTTGAGAGAAGAATCTAATAACTGCACAAGTATTATGACCCACTATGAAGTGAATGGGAACTCCATTTACCTTTTTCAGTAACCAAGTTATAGTAAACAAAGTTTTCTCTGTAACTGTTGGTGTAAATGCCACTACACATGTTGTTAGAGGATGTTGGAGCTGCCTTATACCTGAATGAGCTGTACTAGTGACTTTAAGTTTTAAAGAAATGGGACTGTTTCCACTCTGACATTCAAAGCAATATTTTAGCTAGTGACATTGGCAGTATGTGCTTTAAATATGCCAACACAATTATTTGTTATGTTATTATGGAAAACATATAAATAGGGTTTAGTAGAAGGGAAAAGGAAGGTATTAACATTTGTATGTTTATACTTGCAAATACAAAGACACTGTGGAAAGTGTAAATTCTTTTATATATTCATTACCCTAAAATAGATGCTTATACACATTTACATAGTATGCCAATCAATGTACATTAATATATGGAGGAGAAAGCAGAAACAAAAGAAATCCCACTGGCATTATCTTAACACTTTATAAATTGCTAATGTGTTCCACTCTGTCTACACCAGGCTGCCTGACTAAAACAATTGATAAAAATTGATATTGTTACAGAAATTTCACCATGTCAGTTTCTGCTGGTTTTTGTTTCAGAATTTGATCCTTTTTCTCTACTCTCCTGCTCCTTGTGCTCCAAGTGTTACTTTCTTTCTAGAGATGTTTAAAGGAAGTTGCATAGGCTAGCTCATTAGCCTATGACATCTGGCTCCCAACATCCAGCTCCTCTCATGAGATACAAGGAGATGTCAGGGAGGGCTTGCTTTTTCAAGAGAAGTCAACAACATCAGTACTCATTAAATAATTCTAAAGCCTTAGCATCATACGGATTTAACAGGTCCCTGACTTGCATCAATTTTGGTTTACTTTAAGCCTTATAATTTTAAGTATATAATACACTTGACTTTTGTCTTTTTAAAAATGTGGTTAGAAGAATAGTTTATTCTGTCAGTAGTTTTTCTCTGCATTTACCAGAAAATGGGATCATTTTATTTCTCTGAAATTACAAGATACATTAATGTACTAAGCTACAAAAGAAATTTGGGGAATTCAATTTCCATTTTACAATGAGGCTCAACAATGTAATGCTTAAAATACAATGGAGATAGCTATTGCTGGGTTATGTGCTTTTTAATGCTGATCTTGAGAAGGCTGAGGAGCTCCACTTTGGAATAGATTTTAAATATCAAACCATCCATTTATGAGTCTTTAGAAGCTATCAGAGTCAGTCTGCACAATTTCGACTTTATATGAATCCCTACAGAGAGAACAAACTTAATTTTATTTTTAAAAATTGTATTTTTTGGCTACTAGTACTTCACTCTACCATTTTCTGTCCAGATGGGATTTCTTTTTTTAGCTAAAAAGTCTGCACATCGTACTAATTTAAAGTCAGCTTGAAATGCCTATATTCTAAAATACATTCACCCGAAACATGGAAAAAGGAAATTAAGTGTGAATTATTGAATAAGATTTCAACTGGTAACACTTTAAATGGGCAACTGGGAATATAATAAAAGGTGGGCCAGAATATTACTTAGTATAAAAAAAGTAAATACCTAAACTTTTTAACATGCACAGTGTTTCCTTTTATATTATAATTTCCTTTCCATCAAGTTTTTCTAGATAAAATAGGGCATATATGAAATACTTTAAAAATAACATAAGAAGTTATTGGGGTCTTTTCAAATTAAATCATTATTACACTAATTATAGACCAAAATGGAAAATACAGGTTTGCAAGTTCAACCTTGAACAAAATTTTACTGAGTTTCAAGAAAGACTGTTAATCTTTTTCACTCCTTTCATTTCCATTCATGCCTGTACTCCATGATTCTAGGACATAAACAGCAGAGAGATGTGTTTCTTCCTTGTCTTTTGACCAACGTGGGATGCTTTGGAAATTTCCAGTTCAGCCTGGTTAAGAGTCTGCAGTCTCTCCCAATCAATATTTAAGCCATTTCAGCTCTACTATCCAGTTAAATACGTTTAAAAAAAAAAAGAGACTCAGTTGTTTTATTATTAGGTGTTAAATTTTGTATCTTTCTGTAAATAACCTGAATATGCTAAATTTCCCTCTAAAACTTGTTTTAGCAAACACTAGCAAATAAAGTATCAGACCTGCCTGAGTGTAGAAAGGAAAATCCAAGACTTGGGTTCTGCTGTGTGTTCTCAGGGCAGCTGTCTTAAGTAGAACTTTGGCTGGCAATATATCCCAGATCTGGGTATCTCCCAGACCCTATGGAATCTGCAGAGAGTAGTTTGTGGTACTGGTGCTTTAAACATTATTAAACACCTGAATCTGCTCCCCACTGTGTGTAGGCCTGGGCACAGAGGAATTCAAAGACCATTGGCTGGGAACACCCTGAGCAGACTCAGTGAGCAGCAGCTCCCTTGTAGTACCAAAGTTAGCAATGATGACTGAAGATGTTCGTGGCCATTTCATGACCACTGTAAAATTCTCTCGTGAGACCTGTTCCATTCCAGGCTCTAACAAGTTAGGACTGGCTGTTTCAATAATGTCAGAGAAACATGGCTGTCTGTGACAGCAGTCTTATCACTGATCTTTCAGCTCCTCCGTGTGAAGTTGCAGTAGTCATCTGAAACTTTCATTCCGACAATTATTTTTCCTCTACTTTCAGCAAAGATAAATACTCCAATTCATAGGTTCTATGGTATAACATCAACTAGAAAAACAAAGCCTTGCACTGTATTTCATGTTAGCTAACAATGTAAAATGAGCTTTAAGTTTGAAACCAACATGGAAAATCTTAGCCCTTGATCCCAAAACTCTGTGTGATATTTTGTCCACAGTAGAAAACCCCATAAAGTATATTCACAACTGGTATATGTTGCCATAAACAGGCAGATTTGAATGTTTTCATTTTCCCACAGGTGACATCAGTGTCTGAGAACAAAACAGTTTTAGAAGCCAAACATATTACTTTTAGATGCTTTAAGAAATTAGAAATAATGTTTCTTTTTAATCAATAACGATAATATAGTTTCTGCTCAGTTCTATAAAAGTAGTATAAACATGTATTTTCCTTGTTCCAGCATAAAAATTAATGGCCTTAGGTATCTTTATTGTTCTGCCTTTATTTTTTATTATTTAGGTGCCTTGACCCAAGCCATTCGAAATTTTGCAAAAAGCCTTGAAGGTTGGCTTTCAAATGCCATGAACAATATTCCACAGAGAATGATACAAACCAAGGTATGTCATGACCTTCGATGGGGGAAGGCACATGTGCATGCTTGCTAAAGAAACTATCTCTTTACAACTAATTTTTTTATAATTATATATAAGTAGCACAATGTTATGCAGAACTAACATATGTATATTATACATCAGAGCTGTTCTTCATGCCTAGAGGATCCTAGATTTCACGTTATCCCTATCTGGAATGTTAGTTTAGGTTAATCTGTGAGTATATGCCCGTGGCAAGATTGAATAGATACTATACTTTCATTCTGCTTCCAAAATTTATATTATGGGTTTTGGTAAGCAACTGTATCCACCATTAGACTCCCGCAGTATATCTTTTCCTTTGTTTTGTGTGTAGTGTGGCTCTGTTGAAGTCCTGTAGCCAGCAAGTCTCTCTAGAGCCACAATAGCTCCAGCACTTCCTATCTTGGTTTAAGTTTTGCACAGCGGAGGCTGAGACAGGAGGACCATGAGTTCAAGTCTTGCCTGGGCTATGTAAGGAGCTCAAGGAGAGTCCAAGTTACTTAGTAAGAACCAGAAACTAGGAAAATAGCTTAGTGATAACATGAACAAAGCCCTGGATTCTAGTCTGAAAAAATCACAAAAATAAAAGATGTCATTTGATTATGGAAGAAGAACCTTTCCAGTTTATAAAATCAGTTGTAGTCCTAATAATGCCTCTGATAGCTGACATCACTGCCCTTCTCAGTGTCATCAAAGTGAACGCCTCAGCAGATTGCTTGCAACATTGGTCATTTTGCTGAATTTCAGAAATAGTCTGGCATTTGCCCTTGCAGAGAATAACTTCTGCTCTTCTGCTCTCGATTATTGAGACAGTTCACCTGAGTTAGGGAAGAGCTTTCTAGTCAGTGGCAATAGACTAAAATACCTGTGTTCAAGTCTTACCACTTCAATGAGTTTCTGTACAACCTTACTCAAGGTACTGAAGCTCTCTAATTCACAGCATGTTGAGATGACAGTTGAACCATGTGGCATACACATGGGATACTTAGCCTGGTGCCTGGCATGTGATATGTACTCAGCGAATATAAACCACAAAAGTGGAAAAACACTTTCTCTTCAAGGGTATATGAGTTTGCTCAAATATTTCAGGCTGTCCTAATACAGGTCACTTTTAAATGAGCCACCTTTGCAACGTCAATAAATTATTCTACCCAACCAACTGATTCTTCAGTATATGCTTCTTATGTACCCAAAAAATTCAGTATAATATGATATGTTCCTATAAATATGTTAAGACCTTTGGCATATTTTGAAAGACTGGGGTCATATTTACTGTGTATCTAACATTTCTATGAAAACTAGATATTTAGAGTTTTTTTATTATCTTTCATATCTTCAAACATAGGCTAACTCAATTCAGTATCTCATTGAAAAACAAATGTTCCCCTGCTAGAGGGACAGAGCTCAGGGTAGAGTCCTTGATCAGTATACAAAAGTCCTGAGTTCATTTCATTAGAGTAGTGGGTAAAAAATGAAAAGAAACACAAGGTTTAAGGAAAAAATGTGTGGGAAAGCTGAATTTCTTTCTAAACATACAAGCAGAGTTAAGAAAACCAAGGATTAAGCATCCTGCATTTACAATAGTGAGAACTCATCACTCAATCTAGGTCTGAAATAGATAAGGGGTGGGTGCCATAGCATCAGGAATCCTTCTTCTAAGTTTCCTCAGTGATAGCCTTGGAAAAGGAAGAACATAGTCTGGGAGGAGTGAGCACTCTGACCACTGTTATCTTCTGCTTCCATCTCCTAACAATGCTCCATCCGTGATTAAATCCAGCTGGAAGCTGGAGGACAAAGGAGGCGCTCCTGTCACCCCCCCTCCCCCCCCACAGCCTTTCTGGCCAGAAAGGATGATGGACATAAAGGCAAAGGTGATTTTTGAAGGGTAAATGAAATTTTTCACTTGAAGAACTTTAAATAAAAAAAAATAGGTTCTTCTACTTGCTGATCTGATAAATATATATGGTCATAGAAACTTTGAACTCTGTTTCACCATCCAGTCTGCCAACTCGTAAACTAAAAGTTATAATGGTGATTTGGGATGACGCTGATCTGAAAGTGGTTTTTGTTCAATTAACAATAATAGTTCTGTACAATTTACTTTTCCAAATAGAAAGAAATGTCCTTACTTGTCTAGCTTCTAGTTCTCCTAAAAAGGGTTGAGAGGTGGTGAAAGCAAACATTTTTCTACTTTTGTAGACAATGTAGTTTTTTATTGTGGTTGAGTAATTCACTTCCAAGGCAAAGAGCTGTAGAAATTGGCCTTTGATCTAACCTAGAATTCTATGCCAACGAGACACAATCACTCCTGGTGATACCACTGTACTCCCGAGAGAAGATTGAGCACCAAAGACACTCCACTGGGAGCTTGTCTTCTTGGCAAAACTGGCCTTTGGGTTAAGAAAAGCACATACCTCAACTACTGACAAAGATACAGAATATCCATAAGTGGATAAAACAGGATTGTCTTATCTTGCCAAGACAGGATAGGATAGTTCTAAGAAAGTTCCTTACCTTTCATAATGGTATGTCAGTTATGTTAGGCCTTAGCCAAAGTTGGTTGACTCAACATTGCAAACGAGACTTTGGGTGATTGCCCAGGTAGTCAGTTGTCTCTGTCATTTGTTGCACATTTTGGATATCTCTCGTTTGTTAAGTAATATTAACTCGCTTCTCAGATCTTTGACGGAGTTAAAGATTAGATAATTGTAGTTACTCTCTACATTATTTAGACTCCTTGAGATAAAATATTTAGCAAAACTTTTGTTACATGTTTCTTGCTCAATATTGTTTGTTATATTTATTATTTGTTACTATTGTATATAGTTGTATTTGGTTTAGTTCTGTCTTATTGAGACAAAAGGGGGAGAAACTGTAAGCGGCATATTAACCAGGCTAGCTTAATATGAAACAGCAATGAAGGGATAGCTTACAACACCAGGGATCCAGTGATGAGCAGGAGATACAAAAAAGAGAGCGGGGGGGGGGGTCATACCCACCAGATTTATATGTAAACATTAGCCCGAGGTGAACATCCCCCCCCCCCCCCATGGGCTGGGCTATCCCTACAGATTGCTGCTCTCAGATGCCAAAAAATGTGGGAGCTTGTTGTAAGTGTTGATATCAGTATACTCAAAACCAAATATTTCTTTGTTTAAGAATCTTAAATGTGCTAGGCAGTGGTAGTGCATGCCTTTAATCCCAGCACCCTGGAGGCAAAGGCAGTTGGATGTCTGTGAGTTCAAGGCCAGCCTGGTTTATAAGAGCTAGTTCCAGAACAGCTAGGACTTACACAGAGTAACCCTATATAATTTATAAGTCAACTATTACCAAATGAATTTAAATGTTTCTAAGGGAAGCTTGCTTTGCTTGGGTTTCTGTAGGTTGCCGCTGTAAGTGCCTTTGCCCAGACTCTGCGAAGATACACATCGCTCAATCACCTGGCCCAGGCAGCCCGTGCCGTGCTTCAGAACACTTCTCAGATCAACCAGATGCTCAGCGACCTTAATCGCGTTGACTTTGCCAATGTCCAGGTACTCTACCTCCTTGAAAGTCCTGTCTTTTAAAGAATGGTGTCAGTTATTCTAAACGAGGACCATCTGATTCATGCAACAATAGAATCTGTGTTCACAATCTCCTCAGAGATGGGGTTTTACCCCCATCAGACTAAACTGAACCCTTCATCTTATGGATAAAGTCAGCTAAGGCTTATGAACTAGTAGATAACAGAATGCATCCATGTTTACAATGGAGTTTAAAAGATAATAAATATCAGTCACTCAAGTTATGCCAAAAATTAGACATTCTTTGTCTGTGAGAATTTGAACAACTATTAACTGCTCTGTATTTCATTTTCCCAGCTGCACCAACTACCTTAGGTTGTTTAAATAGTGATCTGTGCCCTTTCAAGCAGGTACTTCTTTTATTACAGTAACCCACCTTGAAGAGCTAAGCACCTCTATTGCAATGTACATTGCAGATACCTGAGAAAATTCTTTTACTTAAAGAATTAACTGAAGTAAGTCTGGACTCTGGACACCTTGGAGCAAATTATATATATATATATATATCTTTCCTAACCCTTGTTGCTCTGTACTTTACACTTAGAAATGACTAATATAGGTTCATTATTAAAGTCTAACAAGTATTTTATCTATAATACTAAAGTAACAAAGTTAGTTGTTACTATGTAAAAATGATAACATCCTGAAGTATAAGCAACAAAGTAAAAAATGCATAATTCAACAGTTAAAATTAAAAACCTTTGGAGTTAACAAGAGACTACATAAAAAAAATAAAACGGTACTGCAAAGAAAGTCACAAGCTCATGTCTTGTAAATGCCCTATACACAGAAGCTGTAAAGAACCACTCTGCAACCCATTAATCAAAAGCCACCTGATTTTAAAATGGCAAATAGACAAGTGCCCAATAAACACATGAAAGGAGTTTCAGCATTGATCACCATGGGAACAGGAGTTAAAACCACAAGGAAATATCATTGTATGCACACTAAAATGGATATAATTGAAGACAGAAAATACCAGCTTTGGTCTCTGGAGAACTGGAGAAACTAACACTTCATGAGCTGATGATGGGAATGGAAAGTGCCACAACCACTGGGACAGGCTGGCATCTCCCCAAAAGATAAATATAAACTCAGCATGTGACTGAGCAGCCCACTGCTTGGCACACATCCAGGAGAAAGGGAAACATGGCCACACAAGTTGACCAATCCTTGTCTAAGAGTCCTTGGGCTGGAATGTTTGGGTATTTTTGAGATTTTTTTTAATATTTACTAGACTTTACCACATGAGTATCCCTAAAGTCTGTACTCTAAAATGTTTCAAAATATAAAAGTTTTGAGCATTCAGCACTCTGTGTATTCCAAATTTTGAATTTTCAGGTTAGAGATCCTCGATCTGTACTTCAGTGTTCATAGCATCATTGTTAAAATTAGACAACCTAGGGGTCCTTACCTGAAAACTGAAGATAAGCTTTAATGATACACTGAACCATTGCTGAGCAGTGGAAGGAACTTCTGAAGCCTTGACTGAGCCTTGGAAACGTGTGAAGTGAAGGGAAGTTGTTACATAATTCCATTTACATGAAATGACCTAGATAGCCATTAGAGACAGAGTAGATTTCTACTGGGTAGAGCTGGGATAGTGCAGAGATAACAAGTACAATGGATACAGGACTTCCTTTTGTAAAGAAGAATATTTTAAGTAGGTAATTTGTTACAGTGTGTCTGTGAAAATCATTACTTATAAGAAATTTAACCTTCATAACACGCTTTATTATTTAAAATATATTCATAATAATATTAGAGCTTGGCTTATTTATAGTAGAATAAATTAACTGTGTTCATTGTGACTTTCAAGAACTAGGCTCATGTTTCTGGTAGCTAATTTTTTGTCTCTTTCCATGTATCCATCCATCTACCTACCAACAGTCTGTATTCAAACAGACATAGTTGTGTGTACACACATGCAATCCTATAACCTTTACAATAACAAACTCTTGGATTTATAAAATGGCCTGTGTATGTCAATAGGGTTACAATAATTCATTTAACAAAATTACTAAGCAATCAAATCACCTTCAGATCTTCATTTTGAAAAGCACCCTAAGAAAAGTTGAGGGGAAACAATCTTGAAGTCAGAATAGTAAGACAACTTCAGTTTCCTTGATAATTTCAACTCAGTAACAGAAATTTTTGTAAAGAATGATCTATTTCAATTAATATCTGAAAAAAAGTGTTAATTGTTCTTGTTTTAACATGTATTTATGTCTTCTCAATCCTGGCTTCATTCTATTTGTATTGATCTGAATCTGTATACAAATGAGCCCACTCGCTGGGTAGAAACATCTCTCTTGAGGACATCGTGAATGTCAATAGTCAGCTGTACATCTATTACTTATCTTTACACAGCAACTTGGACACTGTTTGTCTCCCTGCGTTGTCAGCTCTCAGTTCTGTGTCCTGTGTCCATCCTGACAGTCATTAGTACTGAAAACTGGATAATTAAGCATCTGTCCTCCTCTCCTCAGAAGATCATAAATACAGTTGGGAGCCATTCAGTTCACCCTGAACTTTACTTCCCTGTACATTCTGATGAATACCCAAACTAGCGCAGCTTTTTACCTTTCTTGCACCTTTCTCTTCCAAGCTCTGATAAGCTTCTCTAGTGTTCTCTGCTACGCATTCCTTCTTCATGACCTTTTCCTGTCATTTGGAACTTGTTCCTGCCTCTTCTAAGATGAATCTTAGTGAGACTGACAAAAAAAAAAAAAAGAAAAAAAGGATAAAACTCTTGCAATAAAGAAACTTTGGGTTGAAATAAGTTCCAAGTATTATTGTTAGAGTATGCCAAGACCAAGACCTTGGTTGTTCCTGTCAGTATATCCATAAATTTCTTTTCACTGTTTTATCCCTGTGTAAACAAATATTTTTGCATTTCAAGACATGTGTTTCCATTGCAGTTTAATGGGCTTTCTTTCTCATTTAACTGATAATCTTACAATGGTATTGTTTCTAAATGCTCTGTGTAAATGGGTGTGTTTTCTCTACATAAGAATTAGATTTGGATGGTCTTATATGATCACCTGACCATTGATTACTTGAGTTAGTTTCTTCCTTCCTTTCTTTCTTCCTTCCTTAATTTCTTTCTCTTCCTTCCTTCCTTCTTTCCTTCCTTCCTTCCTTCTTTCCTTTCTTCCTTCCTTTTTTCCTTCCTTCTTCCCTTCCTCTCTTCCTCCTTTCCTTCCTCCCTCCCTCCCTCTCCTTCATTCCTTCTTTTCCTTCCTCCCTTCCTTTCTTCTTGTTTGTCTTTTTCTTTGTTTTACACAGCAAGGTTTCTCTGCTTTGCCCTAATTGTCCTGGAACACTCTCTGTAGACCAGGCTGTCTTTGACCTCAGAGATCCATCGTCTCTGCCTCCCGAATACTGGGATTAAAAGTGTGTGCCACCACACCCAGGTGTTTGGGTTTCTTTATTGAAGATACAGACTGATTTTGAAGTTCCTTATTATGTACCATGTTGAATATTATGTTTGTTTTCTGCTTTCTTCTTGACAATGGGTCTGTTTATGGAGTCAGCCATTGTTAGGTGAACTCTGTAGGCTGCCGTATATCATAAACGGGTGTGAAGAGTGCTTATGGAGCTGTGCTCTTATTTCTCAAATTGGGTTTCTAGTTATCTTATCTTGCCAAAGATAATTTTCACATAGTGAGTTCGAATTTTTGTTAAGAAGTGAAATTCTTCTGTGTGTATCAATAAGATCCTCTTTCTAGAACCAGTGCAAACAAGAACAAACTCCTTCACAGGGAGTTCTAGACCTCCGTTGGTCCACACAGTCTGATATTTAACATTGCTGTACTGTATTCAAAGACAGGGTCAAAAGTAAAAAAATAAATAAAAGCTTAAATGGGCAGGGGGGGCACCAAAATCCTCTCCTGGTAACTATTGTAATATTTAATTTATCTTGGTTCTCAGGGACTCTTAAGTTGATACAAAATTCCTGGGAACCATTTGATACTATTAAAAGATTTTAACCATTATTATTATTATGTAAATATATTATACAGAAATAAGTGAAAATATGAGCAAAATGTAGTTAACAACATAGCTAATTCAAACTTTATACTAGAAAAAAATTTAGAACAAACGTCTAGCTGTATGAAAATGATTATACATATGATAACATATTTATGCAATGAAACAAGCTTATTAGTGAGCAATAAGTACTGCTCCATATTTATCTATCTGGAAGGGTAGACGAATTATCATTGTTAAGCAGAATATTGAGTAGAATATATAGTACTTATTATATTTATATACTTATTTTATATTTATATTAGTATAAGCACAAATGACAAGACAAATCAGCATGAATAAATGATTGATGAAAATGTAAACATGCAAATATGTATGTACAGATAACGGCATATATGTGTGAAAAACTTGAAGGACATGTGTATCCATGTATTGTGGCTATCTTGGACTCTGTCCTCACATTCTTTTCTTGTCTTTTTTGTTTAAGTTGTAGTTTAGTCTACTTAAACTATTTCTAAGTACTGTTTAAGAGATCGCATATGGAAATGAAGATAGAAGGCTATTATCAGCCGAGATGAGGAAGAAGCTAGGTTTCCCTAGAGATTAGAGAGAGTGATGTGGGTATGGTTTGCATTTGAATTGCCACTAAGATTAAGTGGGCCTTGAATGGGTAAAATGTAGGGTCAGCAGAGGTGCTAGAGCTGGAAGAGTGGGATTAGAGGTGTATTGATTTGAAGTTTTCAATCTGAATCAGCTTGACCTTTGAGATAGCATAGAATTAAGGCTGCAGACAGTGTTTTCATGAAAATATCAATGTATTCTATGTCTTTGTATTGGAACTTTACAGACACTCCTTCAAAGAAACTCATAATGAAACTCATAATGAATCATACTTAAAAACTCGTAATAATTCTCATTTGTTGAATTTTGTGCTTAGGAAACTGAAGCCCTCACTGAACTAATTTACTGTTTGAACTTAGTTTGACAAATTAGGGCCTGAGCAAAAATGTATGCCTTTTGATTGTCAAGCCGTGTTGTCAAATAATTACATTTTGATCCTGAGAGATCTTTTTCTTTTAATCTTAAAATACAGCACAGCACTAGAAACATCATAAAACTTACACCGTCACTGAAAAGTAACTTTAAAGTTCCTATTTTCATTGTTGTTACAAAACATGAAACTTCCCAACCAGAAGCAGAAGGGAAATTACAGTAATCAGGTTTCTTGGCAGGTAGCACGTCTACATTTTCTCAAAAGAGGTTTTGTTGTTGTTGTTGTTTTCAGTTCTGTGAATTAATTTGCATCAGCTGGTTTGCCTTGATAGCCCTGGAGATTTCTGCTCCTGATCCATAAACTCACACAGCATATGCTTCTTCCTAGTACCAGTCAGTGTTTGTTTTTGTTTTAATCTTTAGGGACCACTTTTGGCCAATTGGATCCATTTATTCCTCTGACTTACTCTAAGTCTTCTAAAATGGTTTTAAGATCTTATGTGGTGGGGTGGGGAAAACTTTGAAGCAGTGTGAAAACAGGACAATGCCTGCTGCTGGTTCTGACTTCTGTCTGCCTTAAGTAACCATGCTTGTCCCTCTCAAGGCCGAGCCCAAGTAGAAAACCAAATCACAGTTAAATACTGCTTCACGTAATAATCAAGGAGAAAGGCTAAGCCCTGAAGATGACAAAGGCATTGTGTGCCTAAGCATTGTCCGTGCTCATGATTGGTTCATGTCCCCACTGAGGCTTTCTGTGCTGACACTCAGTGAGACTTTCCTTTCTGTCTGTGACCTGTCCCAGGAGCAGGCTTCCTGGGTGTGCCAGTGTGACGACAACATGGTTCAGAGACTGGAAACAGACTTCAAGATGACGCTTCAGCAGCAGAGCACACTGGAGCAGTGGGCGGCATGGCTGGACAATGTGATGATGCAGGCGCTGAAGCCCTATGAAGGAAGACCCAGCTTCCCAAAGGCCGCCAGGCAGTTTCTGCTCAAATGGTCTTTCTACAGGTAGCATCCCAAGCTCACTGCATTTTCTTCCTGTCCTGCAAATGTGTGTGTGTACACTATTCACAGAAAAAAGAAACTTAAACTTGGTGGGATAGCCGACTCTATGATTGTGCTGCATAGAGACTCAGCAGGAAAATTATGAAAGTGAACTTTTTGTTGGGAAAGTAGACCCTCTTGCGCTCAAAGCCAAGAAATTTTCAGATAGTAATCTCTGAGAGTCCATCTAGAACAGCAGTACCTAACTTGTGGGCCACCACCCCTTTGGGGGTTAAAAGACATTTTTACAGGGGTCACCTAATACCATCAGAAAACACAGGCATTTGCAATACTGTAGCAAAATTGCAGTTATGAAATAACAATGAAAATAATTTTACGGTTGGGGGTCACCACAGCTTGAGGAACTGAATTAAAGGGTCGCAGCATCAGGAAGGGTGAGAACCACTGCTCTAGGTGATGTTTTCAGAAACAATCAGAAAAGGTGTCTTGTCCTCCCTCTGCTTCTACCTTATTGAGGTGCCTTCTTGTGGGGCTATGACTACTATTTGTTTGTTCCCTTTCCATTGGCCCTCAAACTGTAGTCACTAGACTATGGCCTCACATCCACTTAGATACATTATAAAAGCATCATTAGGCCACTTCCCAAGCCTACTTGAGTCTGAATCCACAGAGGAAAGCCTAGCAATCTGAGCTTTGAAATCCTCTGGGTAATTCCAGTTCACATTCAGAACTACATAGTTAATTTCTTAATTCTGTTAACTTTCAGAGAGCAAAATGTATCAGAGCTATATATCAGAGAGCAGAATTTATATGTTCTTTTTAACCCTTGGTTACTTGTGAGACCCACTAACTCATTCTCTTGGTAGTTAGGAGGTAGTTAGTAGTTGGGAGGATAATTGGGATCAGTCACTTTCTAGTATTTATATTGCATGGCTGGTATCTAGTAGGTAGTAACATGTCTTTTAGGCTAAAATACTTAATGTGGAAGGGAATACATGTTTTTGTAGACATAGAAGCACCTCTAAATAGAAAGGGCTTACTAATTATATGTTACATAATGGCAAATTTGGAATGAGCTGTTGGCACCAAATCTACAATAAGATCTGAAAAGAGCACGTATGAGCTGTATCAATCAGGACTTGTGCAATATTTGAATAGGATGGAATGGTCAGGTCAATTTCCGGTATGGAATCTATGTCAGAAACAAGTTATACCTCTCAAGAAAAACATGTTTCAGGCCAAGTCAGTGGGATCACCCTGAATAAAGAAGCAAATACTTGTATTTTAACTACAGGATCAAATGCCAAAGTCAAATTTTTAAATTATCTAACTTGTCTCATGAAATAGGAGTCCATCTGTCATATAATTCAAGGCTCGAATTTGGAAATATATTTTCTTTTTTTGGTGTTGGTTTTGATTTTTGAGACAGGGTCTGTCTAAATAGCACTGGATTTCCTGGAACTCACTATAGAGAAGACCAAGTTGGCCTTGAGCTCACAGTGGTCAACCTGGCTCTGCCTCCTGAATGCTGGGATTAAAAGCAAAAATAGGTTTCCTTGATTGCTTGAGAGTCAATATTTTATTCATCTGAATTTTCACAGTGATTTGTGTGCCCATGATGAGTGGCTCAAACATCACTTATACTATCTGACTCTTTCCAAGCCTCTCATGACCAGAGTAGAGTGCCCAACCTTACATAGCAGTGAAAGGAAGATGCTCAGCCCCTCCTATTGTGTTGTGTTGTAGCGGCAGGCTTGCTCTCACTTCTCCCTGTGAGGTTTTTTTTCCCCCTGCATTTAGTTGAAATCATTTTAGAAATAAACCCCTAGAGCCTTTGTCACCACAGAGATCTATTGCAGGAATCCTGAAAAGAAAGAAAATTACTTGCTTGTATTTCATGTTCTCTGCAGATACACAAGCCCAGTAGATCATCACTTGCCTGCCCTCTGTCCTCCCTGAGTTGGGGATAATTGGCTTGTTATTATTAGACACGATTATGGTTATTATTTTCATTTCAAAAAGATTTGAAGGCTTACAGTTCAGGGCCACAGAGGAAAGAGACATTTAAGCAGATGCATACCTCCTGCTGGTAGGCAGAGCAATATCTGAACTGCCGTTTGCTGAGGCACAAGAGCATGGTGAGTAATGAAAACTGATGCATAAATCATCAGAGAAGCAGGAGAAGAGCGCTTATGTTTTTAGCATTGTGAATGTAAATTGTAAATTTGCAAAGAATATTATAAATTTGACAGCCATATATACAGTCCCTTCATGTTTAAAAATCAGATATTTAATCTAGTAATTTCTAAACTTGTGTTTGCCCTTACGTGTCCAGATGCATAGAAACCAACTGACAGTCTCACCACAGTTTGTTCGTTGCTGCAGACTGACCCTGCTCCATCTAGAGCCATCTGTTACCTTCAACTAGCTTTGAATGGCTGATGTTGATTTTGGAAAACCAAGAAATGAAAAAAATTATGTGGACTGTTTCTTTTCTTCTGTGCTTTGTGAATATAGCAGCAGACGGTTCCTGCTAACTACAGGGAAGGTCATTCGATCCTTCCTGGTAGATGTGCTGGGGAAGAGGTTGATGCAATTAAACTAACTTTGCTCATTCTCTGAATTTCTTGAATTAGAATTACACCATTCAGTGAGCTGGCATTTAGATAAATGCGGCCCCATTCCTTCAACACTTGTAGAGACAGTAGAGTTGCTTTCTCAACCCCCTACAGGCTATAATGCAATCTCATAGTGCAATAGGTAACAGGTGTTCTCTTCAGCTTGAACATGTTTCCTTTTGAATAAGATTAGTTTTATATTTGTATCTTTGCTAAGCACTTATCATTCCTGGACTGTATTTTAGATAGCGGCTTTCTTTGGTCAACAGGGTGGATGGAGTTATAAGTGACTATTCCACCCTTGGGTCACTTTTAAAGATTACTGACTTTGAGTTCAGTGGTATTTGATGTTTAACCATTATGTTACATTGTTTTGTGTTTTTGTAGTGCGTGTATATGTAGGAAATTCTCTGCCTTTAAATTTTCCTATGAAAAAAGAAATACTGTATCACATTCTTGTAAATTGTAAATTATTTTACAAATGGATGATGATGTATCATTGAATTTTAGGGATTTGGCACATAAATCAAGCCATTCTTCCTTTGCAATAATTCATTTATACATTAGAGTTATAAACATTTAAGGTTTTTCATTGACAGAAAGAAACCATTATCTGAAACTTTTTATTGTAATGAATATACTTTTATTTCTAGTATCTATAGTACTGTAGTAATGACCAGTTTTAAGATCCCTCATATGTTAGATGCCCTGACCTTCATGGCTTGTTCCTGAACACCTTACAAGAACGATGGGAGATTAAGAGAGACACAAGTATTTGAAACATAAAAAAACATATATACATATATGTGTGTGTGTATATATATATGTATATGTANTATATATGGAGGAAAGGGTCTCTGGGGAGGATTGGTCTCAGGGGACATGAACATGAAGTTATTTAGGATGAGGAAACTGTGCTTAGTATTCTTTGAACATACATACTGTTTTTTACTTAAAGTCAATAGTTAGCAAACATCTGTACTCAGATTACAGGAAAGCCTTGCCGTTTCCCTGAGCCTGACTCAGTAAGGTCTTGCTGTTTCCCCTGAGTTGGAGACGATGCCTTGCAATTCATTCCCCTGAGCCTGAGGTATCCACATCCTTGACATGGCCATTCCCATGTTCTGAATGCTCATTTATGCTAGAACACACCTACCCACATTATCCATAAAGCCTATATTCCAGCATCTCAGTGGATGCCTGAAACCACCATCATTACTCAACCTGTGATTTAATGCCTTGTACACTTTGATGTCAGTGCTTACCGCAAGTTGTGTCTGTAACTTTTGCAGTTTGATGTATGACAGAAAACCTAGAATGGATTTCTTTTTGCTCATCTCAATTGAACAGATAGAAGATACACTCTTATCATTAGCCTTGTCTCAGAATTCAGTATTTTTCCCCTAAAGTCTACAACCTCTGCCTTCTTACTAAAGGAGCCATTTTGCAGGAATTTGGTCTATTGATTCCCCAGCATCACTGTAGTCCACTATGGGAACTTCATAGAGCTTGGACTTGCAAAAAGATGAGCTGTGTCCCAGAGGTCAGGAACCAGAGAGTAGATTTCATCACTCTATGCAAAAGGACATGCGATTTGAAACTTGTTGATTGTTTCTGGAATTTTAATTTCACATTATTAGACTGCAGTGGCTGAAACCAAGAAAATCAAAACTGTAGATCTAAGGAACTACTATGTATTGTATCAGCTGACTCTCAGACTACCTTTTAAGCCCTAAAAATGGTTGTGTGGTTGTAGGCAAGATTACAAAGGTCACCTATAACTCCACATGTGGGAGACTGAGGCAGGAAGATGGCTGGAGATTCAGTCTAAGCTACATAATGAGATGTGAACCAGCCTGGACTAGAGAATGAGGCCCTGGTTTGGTTTTCTGTATGTTTGTTTGTTTTAAGGCATACTATACGTGGGCCAACTAGTCATCCAAGGTTTACCTTTCCTTCTGTGTGTACAATAATTTAAAAAAGTCTTTTCCATATAATGATCTTCATTCTTTCTTTTTTTCAAGACAGGGTTTCTCTGTGTCACAGCCCTAGCTGTCCTGGAACTAGCTCTTGTAGACCTGTCTTTGCCTCTGAATGCTAGGATTAAAGGCATGCACCACCACTGCCCTGCTGATTTTCATTCTTCAAATTGAAATAGCATTTTCTGTTATGTTATAAACATAATAATGATATTTGTTGTATTCTATTCTTTGTATGTTGTTTTTATATTCTTTAGTTCATTTTCCCCTTGGAATAACTGTGGAAGTTAGCTAAAAAAAAAAAAAATACTGCTTTCATTTTCCCTAGAGAAAACAACCCAGGAAAACTGTGTAATTTCGGTTAGGAATCAAATAGCATGGAGCCAGCATCAGAACCCAGAGCTTCTGTCCTCAGCTGTCACCTCATAATCTGTCACTGGCCACCGTGGATGTATGAAATCTGATGTATTTAAATCTCTGTTTTTAAAAGGTTGAAAAATGAAACAGAAAACAAAAGCAAAGCCTACTTACTATTCTTTCATTGCCTAGAATTTCATAATTGGTCATTACAAAAATAAGGCTTTCATTTGTGACAGTTTGCCTCTTCCTCCTGAGAATATAATGACAGTTTTAGTATTTATAGGCCAAAAAACTGTAGAAAAAGGCATCTGAGTAAAAACTGGTATAAAATACACACGCATAAATACATACATACATTATTCTTACTGTGAGTCACAGATTTGCATCTATAGTTGAAGTATAAAAGAAGCTTATTAGTTGATACAACTTTAGGAAAGCCACAGCTTTATATGGACTTATTTTTATTTTTAATATAAGAGAGTTTATTGTTATTATTCTTTCAATATGGCTCATATTTGTATAATATATGCATTTAATATTCATGCTTTTTAAATTTACTCATTTCTTAATTCATTTATGATTCCTTTCTGTAATGAGGAAAAATAGCCTTAATTTAAATGAAATTCACCTAGAAACTGGAATCAGTAAGTTTACCCTCCAGCAAAACATGCTGGAATCCCACGTAGTCACCTCCATTTAGACTGGCTGCTTCAGGGAGCTTTGCTTCGTATCTTAGTGTGAAATCTGGCACAAAGTAAACTCACTGTCGTTTAGAGATGACAGAATATCCGCCATCACCAATAAGATGTTCACTTTGAGTTGATTTTCCTTATAGCGGGGACGAGTCTCCAGCCTTTCTACAGTTGTTTCTGTTCAGTTGTGATCATTTGTGAGTACAAGGGGAAGCGCAGACATTCCTATAATAATGAAAGGTCTTTTCTAATGAAGGCCGCCTGGCTCTAATGAAGATCAGGATCAAGCCTTACTGAGAATGACCTCTTTCTCACCACTGAAATGAGTTGGACCAACTTCTTTCAACAAGGAAATTGTTCTGTTGCACGTTTTATACTCTAACGCCTGCGCTTTCATGTAGTCTTCTGACGTAACAGCTTTTAAGAGTACTAACTCTAATCTTTGTCACTAATTCTGGCTTCATCTCTGCCCTTTCTCTTGAACAGCTCAATGGTAATTCGGGACTTAACCTTACGCAGTGCTGCTAGCTTTGGCTCCTTTCACCTGATCCGGCTACTCTATGATGAGTACATGTTCTACTTGGTAGAGCATCGTGTGGCTCAAGCGACAGGAGAGACACCAATAGCAGTGATGGGCGAGGTAAGAGAGGCTTCAAGGACTATGTGTTACCATTTGATTTTTAATTACATTTCAAATTACGAATGCAAATGATTGACTAAAGCAGCGTCAGCCCCACAATGGACTGACTGTGTGTTTTTAATCACAGAATTCTAAAGTTGAAGATTCAGCAGAATGGCTTTGCTGCATTATATGTACCCATATCAAAATAAATGAATAAATAAAACTTTGAAGAACATAAGACTTTAAAAAGTTTTAAAAGAAAAGCTGTTGAGTAGGAGACAAGAAAGACCAATACCAATGATAAAGCTAAGGACCAAGAAAAACAAAACAAAGAGTTAAATGTTTATTTTGTGGGCTCTCCCCTAGTCTTCAAGAAGGAAATGAATGGTTTTGCTTCAGAAGGGCTCTGATGATGGCAATGCTGACTGACACTTTTTCCTGTGCTGCAAGCATGGCTTTACACCCTTTGTGTATATAATAAAACACTTCACAATTTATTACAAACTGTTGAGATTAAGTTCCCCCTTTTCCTACTTTATCAGTGTACATCTGAGGCTAATGCAGAGGACATGGGTACAGGGATATTCAATGGTAACTAGTAAACCATGGAGACATTTTGCTAAAAAAAATAGTTTGATTTTCAAGTCCATACCTCTGTCACTAACAATATGGGGTAAATTTTATTTCTAGAATGTCTAGGGAATAATAAAAATGACTTATCCATACCTAGTGTCAGAAAGTGGTAATTCTTACAATAATACACTAATGAGAATTAGTTAATATAATGAACAATAGGTACAAATGCTGAAATAACTCAGCTCAGGCTCACTTTATTATATTGAATTGGGGTACTTTATACATTAGTAAAATATGCCAGGTCAGACATAAAATCACAAAATACCCAAAGCAGTACAGATATTTATTTATTTATTTATTTATTTATTTTTTTATTTTATTTTATTTTTTTTTTTTTTTGAGACAGGGTTTCTCTGTGGTTTTGGAGCCTGTCCTGAAACTAGCTCTTGTAGACCAGGCTGGTCTCGAACTCACAGAGATCCACCTGCCTCTGCCTCCCAAGTGCTGGGATTAAAGGCGTGCGCCACCATCGCCCGGCCCAGATATTTATTTTTGATCTATGTATGTATGGTTAAGTTTTGAGGGTTTTTTGTTTGTTTGTTTATTCAAGATAAGAAAATAAGGGGAAATCACCTAGCAGGTAATGTTTGTTGTACACGACTGAGGACCTGAGCTTCGATCCCCAGCACGCATGTGAAAACCAGGCACGGTTGTGTGCATCTGTCATCACAGAGCTGGGACACAAGAAAACACTAGCAAGCCAGTCTAGCTGACCTGGTCAGTGAGAAACCTTGCTTGGAAAAATTAAGGTAGACAGCTGTTGAGCTGGCCTACATAAACTCACATGAACACACAGACATACACAGAGGAGGTGGGGGGAGTTGTTGTAGATAAATGCTGCTAAATTGCTGTCTAATAAACATAAAATAAAAAGAAATCAAATCATTAAAAATACTTTAAGCACCTTTGTAAATTCTACTGTAAACCACAAGAATTCTAATATTAGTAAAATGTACATCAAACAGTCCTTCTTAAATATTTTGTATGTGTGTGAGTGCTTTGCTTGTAAGGATGTCTCTGTACCACATGTGTACCTGGTGCCCAAGAAAGCCAAAAGAGAGGTCAGATCCCCTGAGACTGGAGTTATAGATAGCTGTCAGCTGCCGTGTGGGGGCTGGAATGGAACCCAGGTCCTGTGCCCTTAATGGCCTAGCCATCTCTCCAGCCCTGAATGTCAGTTATTTCTAACATCATTTGTAATATTAATCTTTTCCATTTTTTAGAGCATCCTTTGCGGTTTTCTGATATATACATTGTTGTATGATTGTGTTTAAATGCGTTTAAAAGATATGTGTGAGATGGAGCAAGAACTGCTGTTGTTTTTAAATAATAGGCCAAACAATCTGGACTTTTCTTCAGTTTGGCCTTTAGCTGTCTAGATAATCCTCTTACAAGATGCCCAGTTGGAGTGAAACATTTCTTGCCTTAGGGCTCTAGACTCTGAAATGGATCTGCTCACTAGTGTATTGAATACTTTGCCAGACATCTCTTGTGTTCTAGATCTTTACCAGAGTGAACGGGATAATGCAAACAGATTCTTATTGTCACCATGTGGTCTATTCTGCATGGTCTTTGCTTCCCTTCATGTCTAAAGAACAAAGGCATGAGCCCATCACACTGCGAAGTTTAGCTACCTCCTCACACGAGCCTGCAGCCAATATTAGCTCTACAAAATTCAAGTGAGATACACTATCAACACTGCCACGTAATCATTGTAATAGAAATACTTAACTACATGAATAGGCTGTAAATGAATAAGATAAATTATAGCATAAAGCAAAGATACATTAATAAAATATAGGTATAACAATAAGACATAAATTAGCTGCTGTAAAACCAGAGCTCTAAATGCACATCCTAGTCTGGTTGCTCACTGTACCCTTACCCAGTCTGTAAGAAAATCCTTTTTTCTTGATTATACACCATTCAGTCCACAAAGAAAACCAAGGCTAATTTTCTCTATTCAACCTCCCATAGCACTATACTTTAGAAGCCTTTTAGCTAACACGCACTTTTGGCCTTAATCCTACTATCTTATCGAAAATGATTTTCATCTGTGGAAAGAAGATGGGTAGTCAAGAAGCCTCCTCACCACACACCGCCACCTCATGGACTCCTCAGATGGTATCCTAAACTTACCCTCTCTCTGCCCTAAATTACTCCATACAAACTGCTGCTGGACACGGCAAAGGATGCATGCCCGTAACCCCAGAGCTTGTGAAGGAGAGGCAGGAAGAACAGAGGATCAAGCCAAGCCAGATCTGTATAACAAATTCAAGGCTAGCCTCTGCTGCATAAGACACTGTCTTGAGCATCATCTTTGCATGCCTGTCTTGACCCATCTCCAGCCACTCACCAAGCCTTCCCAATCTCAAATCACTCATAGTGTCGTCAGTATTGTCTTATGCAGACACAAAGCTAATTGTGATATCCCCTACCTAAAGCTCCTCAGTAGATCACTCTTCTGTGAGTTAAGAAAGAAAATTCTCCCCTTGTACAAGAGGCATCTAAACCCTGGGCCTGGCTCTCCATCGGCCTCAACCTCTCAATTCCCTTGCCCCTCTTATAACCATGCTAGCCTTTTGTGCCTTTCCATCATTAGACCACTATATAAGTGGTTTTCTTCCAGGAGCCCTCACACCACCTTTCATTGCCCATTCTAATTCCTACTGCATGGTTTAAATATCAGTTCCTTAGTGAGACCCAATCCTCACAGACTGTTATTCGAGTCTATTCTCTTTAGTCTGGACTTTCACTTTTCGTTCTAAAGCCTACACAATAGTGATTGCACAGTTCTCCATAGGATTTGTATAAGTGAAAAGTTGATGCCTGAAGATATCATGGAACTTTCAAGTCAAAGGAACTAAATTTGGGATGATCCATGTGTCCCTGTGTTGAAAACTAGACTGCTTCCTTCTGAAATTAGTTGACTCATTTACTTAACAACTCTATTATGATTTGACCATGACAGTAAACAAAAGGGATGTCTTCAGGGAGATTATATTGCAATAGGAGATGCATATTTATTAAGTGTCTGTAACTGTATAGCTATACATTCTTGGTGCTATCAATAAAGAGTCTAGGAAATTAGGGGGTGCTTGAAGCAAGGGACAGTTACTCTTGCCTGGGAAGGCCATGAAAGCTTTTCCCAAGGAAATAATATTGAGATGAGAAATAAAATATTCTAAGAAGTTAGAGAATTTGGAAACCTGGTGTCAATCCCCAGAGACCCAATGAAAAGTAACATCGAACAACTGAGATGGGGACTGTGATGGTCTGAAAGGAAATGGCCCCCACACTATTAGGACGTGTGGCCTAGTTGGAGGAAGAGTGTCATTGGGGGTAAGCTTTGAGATTTCCTATGCTCAAACTATGTTCAATGTGGCACACAATTCACTTCCTGTTGCCTGTGGACCAAGATGTAGAACTCTCAACTCCTTCTGCAGCACCATGTCCGTCTGCATGCTGCCATGCCCCACCGTGAGGATAATGGACTAAACCTCTGAAACTCTAAGCTAGCCTCAATTAAGTGTTCTTATTTATAAGAATTGCCATAGTCATGGTGCCTCTTTATGACAATAGAATACCTAACTGAGACAGGAATCATGGCCAGTGAGAATTTTGTTGGGAAATCTGAGGTTCAGGTAGCAGAAATATCAGGTAAACACTGTCACAATCCACAGTGAAGAGGACTGGGGCCATGCAGGAGCCAAAGATTTCAAGTGACTCCATCCCCCACAAAGGCTGTGTTCGTTGTGCCGGTTCTGAAGTCAGACCCAGAGCTGTTGAGTAACCTCCCAAATCCACATGGCTAGGAAAGTGTGGGTTGTGCTACTGACTCCACGGCTGATGCTGCGCTCATTACTGCTCTGGGCTGCGTGGGGTGGAAGGCAGGTGCTTCAGAGTCACTAGGGCAACTGGAGCACATTTGCTTTGTCTCTATGACTGCTTTCCTTGGGTCAGCGGGGAGGATTCAGACCTCTAACTTGGTCTGAGAAAAAGGAAAGCCTTTTAAAACAACAAGAAAAAAACAAATCAGTGTATCTTTTCACTCATAGTAGCTCTGTAAATAAATCTTAAAACTAATGTTGCATTATTTGAGCAGGTAAGAGATCAACATGTTTTTCAACAAACACAGTAAATAGACAGAACCTATTTTTGAACACATTAATATTCACCCTCAATGTGGTACTGTGGGTTGCTTCAGTAAGGACCACCACAAATTAGTCCGCCAGACAGAAGCTGCCACGCAGCCCCCTTAAGTCTCTTCCAGAATGGTGGTCTGCTACTAGATTGAGCCCTACTATGTCATTTGTAACATTAGCAATTGTAGACTTCCTTTTTTTTTCCTTTTTGTTTTGTTGTTTAGTTGATTAATTTTT